CAAGGTGCAAAGCTACTTAAAAAAAACTTACAAAGATACTTACAATTTTAATATGATAGCTTGTTCAGTGAAACCTATAAAGCGTTCACAAAATATTCCAGTCTTCATTCGGAATACCTAAATTATTTCGACCAATACAGATTGCGGTGGCCTATGTCCAGCAGTGGACGACATCAGGCTGATGATGATGATCAATACAGATTGATTAGTCTTCAAGCAACATCATAATTATGAGGTTAAGGCCTCTTTACCACACTGTTTAAGCATATCACCACGCTAGCTAAAGATGGAGCTGTGATTTCAAATTATAAATTATAAGTCAAATCAAACATCTTAAACCAAATTAAGACTTTTGAGCATCTATACGTCCAGGTCACTAGATATTTCTTTCTAATACCTAAGCAATATCTACTAATAATGGTCATTCCTTTTTCTTAATAGCTCGTACTTCGTCGCTCAAATTATGAATGCGCTAAATCGTAGGAATTCAACAACATATTAATCTGAATACAAAAACAAAGCATGTGATTATATATATAGATATATGTAGGTGTCGGTAGGTTCTGACTTGATTACGACAAATATATGGCTACCTACCAACGTAGCAGCTTTCGTTTCACATCAGTATCATTTTACAAGGTCCGAAATTTTATTGTGTTTAGAATACAAGTTATAAGAGTTAGCGGGAAAAGTTTTATTGTTATAATGTGAAAGATCGTATCATAAACCATTTAATTCTAGAAAAAAAAACAAGACAATTCTAAATCCAAAAAAAACAAGGTTATGTCTATTTTATGTAGGTACATTTGTTCGATAAACATGTTTATTTAACCGGTGTTAAAATTATAATTGTGACTGATTGTATATACTTTAACCTACTTACATAATTTTTTGAAAATAGAACTATGAATGAAACCTTTTTGCACTGAAACCTCACGAATTAAAAGTATCTATCTAGAAGAACAGCATAACGTTCTATTCAATACAATATTTAATAAACAACATAATTATTAAAGATACTCATAAAATTAGTACAAAGTGTATTGAAAGTTTTGTCAACAATGGTAACTAGAGACTGTCGACACGTGCCACAAGAACAAACAATAAGTTACACGAGTAGAAAGTGACTTTTGTGAGACGTGTTAGGTAGCATAGTGAACTAACACTCGACTTTTAACAATGGCGGTGCAAACTTTGGCGTGGCGTTAGTAAAGTCGTGTTTACGTAAACTGGGAACTGTTCAAACTACTGGCAGATCCTGTTATTATGTATTTTTATGTTTATTATGGAATTAAATGATTATTTATACAAACAAACGTCACTGTCGCTTTCGCGTTCAACTTGCGCCACAACCCAAAGAGCGGCGCCTATCTGTGTAATAAACCATACACTGACTCGGGGCTTCTTTATTTTTTTTATAGCCTATCGTTAATATCGAGGCTTTTACAGCTCCAATGCTTTATTACAAAACTCAAAAAAAAAATGTATGACTTCTCTTTTTCTTAAATTCGGTAACATGTTAATTTCGACTATAAAATAAAAAAAAACATTATGTGCGTACAGTGTGTTTATTGTGGAAGAAATCACTTTTATTTCCATGACGAGGTATTGGAGTAAATGTCGAGATTACGTTTGTCTTTAACTCGAGGTATTTTTATGGCTTCAGTGAATAAAAATGTTTCTACGTCTCATCACTCTCGTAGGTAGATAAATTAATTTAAAAACGTTATTCAAAGAGTTGCTATTACACTGCTTCGTAGGTGGAACTGAACTCTTTGAACTACTAAGTACGATAGTGGTTACCTAGCAAAATTTGTCGCTACTACTCGTACCTCTCATTTGTATAAAAATTATAATACACATAGTAATTTTACATTATAATAATTCAAAATTGACTAGTATGTCAACACCCGCGATTTATTAACAAAAAGAAACTATTATAACGCTACAAATTAATCAAAATTACTATTAATCAGCAAACAATATTATTATTATTATTATATAGAAAATCGTAGTCGATCGCGACTACAAAATAAATTGTTCGATAAAATTGATATAATGATTTATACAGGGGATGTTTTAAGTTACATACCTCATTAAACGAACAGTATTCTCGGCTACGGCGGGGAATATTAAATAATATAATATTATATTAGGGAAATATTTATTTCGATGCCGTGCCATGCCAGTAGGTAGTTCGTTATCGGTCGTAAGCCCGATTATGATAAAAATAAACTTTATATAACGTTCAGGTTTTGTCGATGTTCGTATTTTATATTAAGTAGGTACTATACTTACATTGTTGCGTTTGTTTATTTCATTCCGTTATTTGTTAGTTCATTATGATTGTTTTTATGTATGTACTTGTACATTTACATAAAAAAGTATAAATTATAAAATATTGAGAAAAATGTAATTATAAACGATTAAAACCACAACACCATCTATATTATTACTTATACAATAAAAGATAGTCAATCGTTTTACAATGTCTTTTTGCTTGAGTGCCCATTTGGTACTTAACTTCGCCGTTTTGTATTTGGTAAAGAATAGTCAAAAAAGTCAAAAGCCAAAAGCCAAAAGCCAAAATTAAATCATTTATTTCAAATACAACAGTCTAGGCACTTTTGAACGCCAAACAACAAAAAATTGATCTTTCGGTCTGTACTTTAAGGAATCTAAATTCGATGAACGCTCATTCCAAAGCGTAGATTTCTATGGAGAAGAACGAGCAAGAATATCCATGGTAAAGAAATTAAATACTCTTGTATTAGGAAGTATATTTCTAAACGACGAACTAAGAGAAGAGTACAACATATCTTTAAAGTGAAGCTAAAGTACATGAAGTAAGTATTGTTGCCACATATCACGTCAATTGTTATGCCCATCAATTAAGCCGACCTAACCAAGGCCCAAAGGCGACGATACTCATTTTACAGCCTAATTGTTTTTTGTTCCAACAGTCATAAACTTAAAAACGGCATCGTAAATATGGACGCAACTTTCCGACCCCAAACTGGAATCACACAAACCCGTCTAATATATTTAATTATAAATTTAATAATTAGCTAGTTGCGCATCGGCGATTTCGTTACATATAACGCAGCCAACCACCCAAGTTTTGTAGCGAGATATTAATAAAAAAACCACTGACTTTTATTAGTTAGACCTATTATTATTAGGGGCAGTATGCGTGAAGCTCCTAATTTGGGACAATTTTTGGTTTGTCCGCTTCCAGAGCTATTTGTATTTATCATTCACAAATAGAAATAAATTCTTCCATATTTAATCTACCACAATATAATAATATTATTTTGAATTAATATCACATTAAGGAAATACCACAATTTCTCATTCATACTTTTTTCGGCATTTGCATACCGTACCTACTCGTAATGGAAAATTTCGGATTAATTATAATTAAAAAAATTTGGTACTAGAGTAAACACAGGAAATAAACGGAATTTCACTTTAATTTTAAAATTTCATTGATCTGTTATGCACGCTGCTTATGAATTAGAGTCCCGTTGTGACTTGAACACACTAGTAGATTTTTTCTAAATAAATTTAGTATGATTAAAGATAGTTTGAAAAGAAAACTTAAACCCTACCCCAATCTCTAAATCTCCAAATCCCTAATCCCCCCAAAAGGTTGGCAACGCACTCGTAACTCCTCTGTTGTGGGCGTCCATGGGTGGCACTTCTTGCTTACCATCGGATAATCCAACAGCTCGTTTGCCGACCTATCACATAAAAAAAAATATAAAAATATTAAAAAATTTCGACGACAGAAATATTAACGTCAATCGTATAAGACAAATCCACGCCTATACAGAAAGCATGAGCCCCCTACTTATTCCGCACTATCTATTAGATCAAAACGCGTCCAATTATCGGGACATACATCATTCTCCGTTATTTGTTTTGACGCACAAGTCACTAGGTGGCTCTGCCGGCTGCCTTTCCATTTCCGTTTTCTACTAATGAGTATTAACGATGGCTATGCTTATCAATTAATAGGGGGTCCTTAACTAGAGTTAGAAATGTGAAATTAGGTAAAACTTGACAGGTTGTACGTTATATTTTGTAGTGATACTTCGTTTGTGGGTTTCGGGTTTAAATTGTATGCGTAACAATTGTTTGATAGTAGGTTCATATTTACACTGGAATTCGAACTGGAATGTTGTTGAGTTTTGTTCACACTACACGTACATAGATAGATATAGGTACAGTCCACATATTTCTATTAAAAAGATAACATTTTGTTGACAATTGTATACATGATGACGTCGTTATGGGTCAAAACGCAATAAGGTACCACGGCCTTGGCCAGAAGCAGGAGAAGGAACGGGGTGACTTCTAGTCAGCAAGAGTCTGACAACTCTCGCCATACCCTGATCGAGAGAAGTGATTTAATGATTTTCCTTTCTCAAAGCAAAAAGGTTATGATGCCACAATCAGAAAATTAACAGATACATAGATACGAGAAAGAAACCATTATCGACAACCATCCACTAAGTAATGCGAGACTTTTATCGAACTCTTCAATGAGCTTGAATTATTCCTAATCCATCCATGCTTGATTTCCCAGTCCCCGGAACTTTACTTCCTCTATTAGCAGGCATGTCGTGGTCTGCCGATTGTGACCGCAGTCGCCAACTATCTTAGTTTCCTCTCGTTTGTATTAAAAACTCAAGGATGTGGGTTCGAGATGGTGCACTGTGAAATTGTTGGTATTGCCTTTTGACAATATAAATTGATAATCTTATCCGGTAGTAACATTCGGTTGTGGGATTTGATGGTAACGAGTGATTATTTAGGAATAATATACGAATATGCATTGAATTTGCATATAAAAGATGGAGCAGCTTCTTTAAACAGACATCGATATGAAACGAAAGACATTTAAATAGGTAGTCAAATTGTGCAAATGCCGTTTATTCCAGTTCCTTTATATTAAAAAAAGAAACACCTCAAAAAAATAATTCCAATTGTTGCAGAAATACTTCACCGGGGTGATCTCTCGTCATCAATGGAGTCATTGGCCTACGACTCATCAGTTGCATCGCCTGGCAGCGTGTCCAGTCACACGCAGCGCACCAAACGAATGCGGACCAGCTTTAAACACCACCAGTTGAGGACCATGAAATCCTACTTCGCAATCAACCAAAACCCAGACGCTAAAGATTTGAAACAGCTGGCACAGAAGACTGGACTCTCCAAACGTGTTCTGCAAGTAAGTAAATAAAACTATGTACGACATTGCCGTCCCATATAAGGTGGACTAAATATGCTCCACATCCCAAGACAGCCTCTAAGACCATTCAGCAAACAGTGTATAGATATCAAAGTTTATTCAGTGCTAGGACAGAATTTCCTGGCTATTGTCGTGTGTACCTACATTTGCAAATACTATCTGTTCTGTAGACTAAACTTGTTGGTCAACTATGACGAACAAGTCCTATCTGTAGACTAAACTTGTTGGTCAACTATGTCGATCTGTTAAACATGAGAGAAAATATCAAGCATACAAAACCCAAATTTAAAGCCCTTTTTTTTATTAGGTATGGTTCCAAAATGCACGTGCAAAATGGCGTCGAAACATGATGCGTCAAGAATCCAGCAACGGTGGTCCAGGCCACTCCAACGGGTCCATCATACAAGGATCAGTTTCGCAGCCAAATGCTGGGCCAAGTTCCATGTTGTTATCAGAACCAATGCCGCCAATGGAAGACATGAGGGTGCACACGCCACACCCTCATCCAATGACGTTTAACGAACTATATTGACAAATCCAGAATGAATACCTTCAGGCAGTTGGTGGGCAGAATGAGGCATAAACAGTGTGTAAAGAATGTAAGATTATGTGTGCCGGAATGGGGATTCATGCAATAGCTATGTGTAAGGAGTGGAAGGTATTTAAAACTTAAGATAGGATGTTAAAAAAAATTGAGGAGAATGTTTTTTTTTAACACACGTGGGCCAACAGAAATGGAACCGTGTAACAATGCTGTTACGGTGTTAATTTGTACTCGTACTGAAAGAAGACGTGTGGTTATCCATAGCCAGTATAAAGTTAGATTTAAGACAACAAAATTGATAATGAATTACATTCCTTCTTTTAATAACAGCACATTACAGTTACTTAGATCAAGAATATAATGTCTCAGGACTATTGGATATTAGTGTTCGAAAATTTAAATACACTGGACTTTTCCACTACATTTTTGTAGTTAATAAGTTAAGAATAGATATTGTGAACTAGTTTATAAAATTAGATCTCTACTTAGATTAATATCGATTTTCAATATAATAGTCATGGCATAAAGTAATCTCCTGTGTATCTCATAAAATTAATTTACTATCGAAGTGTGAATACCCGCATCATATTATTTAAAAGCATTTACTTTGGTCTTAATCATAGTTCCTAATTAATATTTATATTATATAGTACCATTAATATTATTTAGCTTAGGTTAAGCGCTTTGTATTCATAATCACACTATCGGCTTGTAATAAATTTTTACACTTGTAAATAAATATAAAAACTTGTTTATTGGATAGACAGTTAGTGGTTTCAAGTGAAACAATGCAAAGAAAGTAACTACAATATCCATTAATTGGAAAATAACGACTTATTCACATGAATTAATCGAGGAAAGCTCGACTAGTTTCAAGTTACAACGGGACTCTTATTCATGAGTAGCGTGCAAATAAATCATTATTTTCAATATTTTAAGTATGTTTCACAATATAGTTGCTAAAATATTATCTTCATAGTAAGAAGGGTATGTTAATTTATGGTGTTTACTTTTTCTCAAAATGTCACCACACCTCCCCTTTGGCTTGTTATATCGTATTTGAACATTCTAGAATGCTGTTACCATAAAACTTGATATCTGAGCTCATTGTCGTCTCCAATATCACCCTCATACTCATAACACTATACGACACCATTTTCGTCGATTATTTCAAGCGGAAAATTGTATGCCTTGCATTTTCTAGCTGCAGATCATTGACATTCTGACTTTTGTACAATGTAATTGTGTTCTTATATAGTTTGGAGGATCGATGACAGACAAATAGAGTTAGTTTCAGTGTTATTCGAATCATTATTTTTCCATCAATCGTATTTATAAAATGTAATATTGAGTTCAGGTAAATTCTATAAAAATATCACAGCTATCTATATATAATACTGGTAGGAGTTTACATTTTGAGCATTCCTCATTCAAATAGAGAAAGTGTTTTTTTTTATCTTGGTTCCGTGTTCAGAATTTTATCGTTCAAACGATCAGTTTAATGATGATTTGTGTTTAGAAGGGATTTTTAATATATCAATGAAGTACAACCTGAAATCTTTCGCTAGAACCCTTTTAAGTTCTAAAGAGTTAAAGCTAATTCTACATTCGTTTTCCCACACATTATCAAGACCCAGACTATCAGTATCAAAGTAACATTTACAACAGTTTAACCAACAAAGCATTCTAAACACTCCTAATATGAGGGAATTAAGGACGAATTTAGAAAATTTGAATAGCTCTCGAAGTGATTGTTCCGTGCCAAAAAGAGACACCATCGAAAATACTTCCGTCTCTTTCTAGCACAATAATATAATCGATGCTAAAAGACTATCGAAATCTCGCACGGAGGTAGAACGGAGATGTGTACATACGTACGTAGGTACCTACTATATTATGTGTAGGTATGTTTTGTCACGTATCGGAAAAACGGGCAAGAGACCACAGAGCTATCGCAGCAGCATATCGGAACGTATTGAAAATATATTAAAGAAATCTACAGTACATTTTATTGATTGATATTTGGAGCTTTCGCCTGCCTTATCGCAATGTTCGAATTCAATTCTTTTTTCAAATTTGATTCTAGAATAAAGCCATAATAAGCAGTGTTACTTACATAAATAAAAGCTTTATTTTTCTTAAAAAAAACTGGCATGAAATATTAAAAAGCGAATTTTGTATTCGTTATATGTATAAATATTTACAATTTTTCCTAACGGTCGGTTTATATCGGCGGAAAATGCGCCAAACGCCAATAGGTATCATTTTATGCCAATAAGACCCCTCATACGCTCGGAGCATTAACGCATCACTGGTAACTATGTACGGTTCAATATTTTGTTATATATAAAATATAATTATTTATTGGGTATTATCAGTCTAGTAATGGCGTGATCATTATAATACACGAGTAAGTTTCCAATAGATAGTTTTGTCGTATCAAATAACATCGCGCATGCTCAATGCGGGTTGGCGATTTCAAACTTATAATTAGAAATTATAAGTCCAGGTTTCCTCACGATGTTTACCTTCACCGTAGGTATGTCAGTGGCATCTAAATAATCATAGAAAGTACATATAACTCGGAAAAAGTCACATTGGTACTTGCCAGGTTTCGAACCCGCGCCCTCATGCATGAGAAGCAGGCTCCTTAAGATCTGGGCCACCACGACATTTTTTATGGGATTTGCATGTGTGGAATCCTAAAAAGTCTTGTCAAAAATCCTATCGAATGTAGGTATAGGTATGTCTAAAACTTCTTTCCATAAAATCACAGTACTTATATTATGTTTATATCAAGGAGCATAATCTTTTATATTAACAGCATGCTTCTTTTTGCCCTAAAATAGGTTATGGAATGTAACAACTTAACTATATATTGATGTTTCACCTTATGTAGAATATATTCCGGATATTTAGTTATTAAGATGTCTGTAAATATTATAATTATAAAATGTAATTAGATGTGTAATTTAAGGTGCCAGGTAAAACCCGGTTGGACCGGCCCACTGCCAAAATTGTTAAATACCTTTTCACTAGAAATCGAAATAATGTACTTAAGTGTAACTGGCTACAATTTTTAAATTCAAATTTAGAACAAGTTTAGAAAATATATTTCTTTTCCTCTATAATAATCTGTTGTGGCTTCACCGACTGCGAATTTCTCTTTTGTTATTTCATTAGAAATCTTATTTTGTTTTTTTTTTTGAAACATTTTTTTTTGTGTAAGTATAGATAATTGATTGATACAATCATTAACATCATTAGGTGTTAGCATGATTAAATTTAAAATTTCAATATATCCGTTTGTGCGAAAAACAATCTTTAAAAAATATCGTGTTCCTTTTATTTGTGTACTATGTATAGTATGCCACTGTTTCCAATTAAAACCACTGAAGGTTTAATTATGTACCGTTACATTAAGAATCACAATGCTATTTCATTACATAAATTGCAGGATTATAATTTGATATTTCTCAAAGATAGAAACTCGTTAAAAAATTCTTTATAATCTATTAATGTGTAACTTAATAAGATACTAGTAGTTTTCTATTCAGACTGGATACGAAAAAAATGTATCGATATTGATGGGTGGCCAGACAACCAATAGGACTAAGGATAAGGATAAATCGAAGATGTAAAATTGTCTTGAATCACAATTTCATGATAAACCATAGGAAGGTAGGTCACAATTAAAATATGGTGATTGTACTTAGTATGCGGTCCGTTGCTGTCTTCGTTGCGAGTGTCCATAGTCAGTCTATAACCGAAAATTTTCAAAAAAATGTTTTATTAATATAGTAGTTAGGTAGAATTTAGAAAAACCCGAATTATTTTTCGTATGTAGGTATATGTATTTTATTTTAATAATAATTTTAATGTAAATTATTATAAATTACGATTCTCTGTTTCATTTTAATGCAATGTATTCGTTGTCGTGATAGTAGTTGAGTTCATTTTTAAATGTTTTAAAATGTTATACATTTTTTTTTTGTTTGTTAGACTAAGTATAATAGGTATCACTTGAATAATAATTATGTTCAACATTCCTCAACAAATATTGTAAGTAGTTTTCGAAAATAAGTATTAGAACTAGATTGTAGATTTTAGTCTTAGAAAAACATATTTATACACGAAAATGATTTAATATATTGACATCACATTATTTTTTGTTTTATTTTTTACCTTAAATTAATGAAAACTATGACTTCTTTTAATTGTAAAACCACGCACACATCCCCTCATCACCAGCCTATAAGTGCCCACTACTGAGCAAAGGCTTCTTCTTACACGGAAAAAGTTTAAGCATTAATCACCACGCTCGTTCAATGGGGGTTGGCGATTACAAACTTATAATTAGAAATCACCATGTGATGATGTTTACTATTGTTTACCTTCACCGTATGTCAGTGGTGTCTAAATAATCATAGAAAGTACATATAACTCGGAAAAAGTCACATTGGTACTTGCCAAGTTTCAAACCTACACCCTCATGTATGAGAAACGGTCGCCTTGACTGGTCGCATGAATTTGCACAGCAGCTTACTTAGGTAATTGTGACGACATAATTTCTTTGCGTTAAATGTAATTTTTATTTCCTATTTAAAATTAGAATTGAAATATAAAAAATAAACTTCAAAATATATAAATAATACAGAGTCATACTATGCGGATGTCTGTCTGCCATGATATCATTTAAGTTCTTTATAAACTTATTTAAACAAATAAGGGCTGATTTTCAATGGTTAGATAAAAGTTACCCGGGGAATAATTATGATGCTGTCGCGTCACAATGTTTGTATAAGACGGTGACAGCAACAATTTTATTTCTCACAAAACATTTATCTGACTATTGAAAAATCGGCCTTAAGGCAATAGTTTTTGTTTTAAATAAAACAGAAGGATTAATTGATGGTAAGCAATTGGTGCCGCCCATTGACACGCGAAAAGGTATTAAGTGTGTAATTACCGATCTTTTGGACATTAGGGCTTATAACTTTTGACTAGGTCATGCGTAATAAAATGGGAGGTTACTGTTTTGTGTGACTCTTAGTTGTCTCTTTATCTTTTTTCTATTATGTTCTAACCAATAGGTACCTAAACATTTTCATTTACTAGCTTTTGTCCGCAACCCCGTTCGCGTGAAATAGCGACTTCCAGCAGATTATTGGTATAAAAACTGTCTTATATCCTTTCTCGAGTTTCAAACTTTTTTGTGCCAAATTTCACAGAAATCGGTTCAATAGTTTAGGCGTGATGAAAAGACAGACAGACAGACAGACAGAGTTACTTTCACATTTATAATATTAGTTTGGATTTTGATTTATTATGATAAAGTAGGCTCACAGCTTATGTTTTCAAAGTAAGTAGTTAAATGTATTCGTTGTAGGTCTTATACAAACCAGTTACAAGCTAATCAACATTCTTAAAATAATGCGTTATCACAGATAAAATTTATGGAAATTACAACTGGAACTAATCAAAACATCTATAATAAACATCAATTCTTTCTAATTTAACAAAAGAGTTTCAATCCTAACTAATATTATAAATGCGAAAGTAACTCTGTCTGTCTGTCTTTCTGTCTGTCTGTCTGTCTTTTCTTCACGCCTAAACTACTGAGCCGATTTCTGTGAAATTTGGTACAGACATAGTTTGGAACTCGAGAAAGGACATAGGATGGTTTTTATTCCAAAAATCTGCAGGAAGTAACTTTTCCACGTGAACAAAGTCGCGGGCAAAAGCTAGTTATCTATAAAGAAACAAAAAAAAAACAATACTTGTTGAGTATATTCTATGGATACTTAAAATCAAGTGCATCATTTAAAATTCTTTGCACTCCTATTTCAGTGCTACAAGTACGTTCGTAGACAGCCTCTTGTTTCATTTTCTAATAGCTGCTTAACCCCAACAAACAGAAGGTCGTTACTTTTTTCATGGAAAAACTATCTTGTTTAGCAAAATAATAATTTTGCAATTATATACAACTTAAAACAGAAGAGCTTTAGCTTTGAAATGAAAATATGCATAACAAAATAAATTATTGAATGGAGTTTTCTTTAAAATAATACTTATCTCGATTCGATCGAGTGAAGACGATAAATTTTCAAATTTTTTTAGGAGTCGAAGTGCTCAATGTCATAACAATGATCTCCATCATTAAAGGGAAAAGGGTTGATGATGATTCTCATAATTAACATTGGGATACCTCATCACCAGCCTAATAAATGTCCACTGCTAAGAAAAGTTTTCCACTCTCATGGGGAAATATTAAGCGTTAATTACCACTATTATTATTTATCACCACGCTTGATGAAGCTAAAGGTCATCATCATCATCCTCATCATCATCATCAGCTAAATGCCTATTGCTGAGTAAATGCCTCTGCACACGGAGAAGGGTTGAGCATCTTGCTCCAAGCGGATTGGCTATTTCAAACTAATAATAAACATTAAAAGCCCAGGTTTCCTAATAATGTTTTCCTTCATCGTATATTAATGGTTTGGTTAAGTTAAGTCAAGTCTTAAGAAGTCAAATTAAAACTCGTCAGGCTTAGAGACTACCTAAGTTTCACACATGAGAAGCGGACGCCTTAAACCACGGTTACGGTTATTTTTTTTTATCTTTGACTAGACCAAAGCACGCGTATTTATAAAAATATCACCCTGTATATGCCTATTTATTTTATTGATAGGTACATCAATAGATGAAACATATTAAAAACAAATAAAATACCCAATCTCCTCATATTCTTTTTTCAAATCAATTTCTAATTGAAGGATTTCTTGTCGTGTTGCCTAATTGATAACAAATATTAATTTGCAAAATTAATCTTTGTTTGTCTGTATTATCAGCTCAATAGATATCGGCCCCATAATCAAATATGGTGGACATCATTGGAAGATAGATTATAATTCTTTAGATGTATAATGAACTGTGTGTCCACGGTTCGTGGAGGTCTACAAAATATTTTAACAGGCTCGAAGTTTGCCAAAACTAATGATGCTGTAAATCAACATGTATTGTGGGCTCTTGCCCTAGGATTCTTGGATGGGTATTTTATGGGATCACCTTTTAAAAACCTTGAAGGTATATTTTATTTTTGATGTTCTTTTGTCATCGACAGCGTTGTGTTTCGCCGTGTGAGTGAGGTTACCGGAGGCCCAATCCATCCCCGCCCCCAATCCCTAAATCTCCAAATCCCTAATCCCTAAAAGATCAGCAACGCACATCATAAATTCTCCGTTGCGGGTGTCCATGGGCGGCGCTGATTGCGATCATTGCATCAGGTAATCCGTCTGCTAGTTTGCCGAATATTACATAAAAAAACGAGTTTAGTTTAAAACTTTTTTCAAATTGTCAAATCGAAATTTGCCATGCTTATGCACGAATAGGTCGACAGGAGCGATACCACGGTCTCACAAAAACAGGGGTGAAACCACGTTGTGTTTCCCCGCCTGAGAAAGGTGTACCGGTGGCCCAATACTTACTCCAATCTCTAAATCTCCAAATCCTATTTCTCCAAATAGTCGGCAACGGACTTTTAACTCCGTCCTATCACATTAAAAAAAGTTGTACGGGATTGTGTTATCAATAAAGCGCCAAGTAGCATACTTGTTTCTTAAAAGTTAATTTGAAAAATATGATTGTCAAATACATGGGCAAATCAACGAATGAAAGTGTGATTTCTTTTGAATACTTTAATGCACTGGAAATTTGATTTTATTTAGGTATATTTGGATATATTGTTAGCTAAATCAAGTAGGTATCCTTAAATTTCATATCAAAGGTCTTCTCTACATGAATCAAAAACTGGGTACTACATGCTTAAAACTTATTCAATTACAGATAATAATATGATGAGATACATCATACGTACATCATCACGTAATTTAGTTAACTACCTACTGACTTACTCTTTTTAATTAAAAACGTAAACAAACGTGTGAGTACAGGCTAGCTTTTTTTAATCTGTCATGGATTTGTAAGAAGTTCACTATTCATGGCAAGAGACAAACGCTCAAACCTACTTCGAACTACACAAGTCTACATAAAACTAGAAAACAACTATAGAACTTGTACTAAAACCTCCTTACGACCACTTACTATAAACCATCAAATATTCTATCAACAGCAGAAAAAGAAATAAAATGTCTCGCCACAGAGACGCATCGACTGTCAAAGCACGTGTCATTTTAATTGAATTGATACAAAACGGACGCCAAACCATTACACAATATGCGGACGAAGTCGCCGGAGAAAAGAAGTCGGCAAAAAACCTCGGTGCAACAAACATATAGGGTTGAGGCCGAAAGGAACCCGGAAACCACGCCGCAATATTTTCAGGTACATACCACTTTATAAATAATTTATCGAAAGACCATTGGGTCCATGGTTCTGCGGGATATTGTGGCCCACAGCCACCGTGTTGTAGAGACCAGTAGGCTATACTTGGGAAAAGAGTTTGTAAATAAAAAAATTGTGCCTTCGTGTTTTTTTCGGTGCTGTTGGTTTTTGCCGTACCTAATACTGGAAACAAGTATAGCAGCTCACACATAGGTCACATTACAATAGTAAATTTTGCGTGGTTTGGTGACTGGGCTACTCCCAATTGTACAGTCTCTTTTGTGCCTGGCCTATAAGGCTTAAGTGATCCTGTCTCCTGTCTGTGTCAAAAAATATCTTCTGATTTACTTATTTTCTTGTGGAATTCAAGACAGTCATTCATGCCAGTCCCTGGGACGCGCCGGCCTTCAGTCTATCACTTTATAACTACTTTAAATCCTCGTTTACATGAGTTGCAGTGGTTTGGAAGGTTGTGGCAGGCTTGTTTCATCAAAAACAAGTACGTAGGGATTGACAGTTCTCATGTATACTTTAATTTTAACTTTACTTTTTGGTCCTGTTCCTGGACTGATGAATGATTTATAAAGTTTAAAACATTTAATATAAAGATTTTTATATCAGTTCTAAAGCATGCACCAAATGATTCTCAAGTATTCTTACGATATGTTGTTGTGATTTGAATCTTGAAAACAATTTAGTACGATCTATTTTCGATCCAATTTTTAATATCATCCAGATTAGTCTCGCGTTCTCTTCAAAGCCTGGTGTCACCACATGTAGTCCTTTATTGGTAGTTGTTACGTTTTTGTCGAAGACAATGCTGGCTTTTCATATGTCGGTCGGTGAACTCGTTGACAATTTTAACTTCAGCGCTTTTGCCGCTGCGGCTTTTTTTATGAAGCGGCAACTTTTCCGATTATGGGAGCAGCTGTCTTTTTAAAGGGGCATTTTTTAAGAAACCCAATTGAAACGGCTTGTTTAAGATAGTTACATTTTTGTACATGAACTTATTAGGTACTTATTTTAATAAATATATTTTATGTATGGCACTTTCAAACAAGAAATTTATTTTTGTAAATAGATTATAAAAGAGCACTTTTACACGTCTAAGTTATAATATGAAAAAAAAACTTTATGAAGCCCACACTTAGATAAAGCACTAGAGTCCTTTATGTAGTAGTAGTGTACTTTATATACTTATTATTATATGAAACGTATTTTTAATTAATTTCTTTATCTCAACAGATATCAGTGAATGTTTTGGAAGCCCGCAAACTAACATGGATGAACCCAAATTCTGCAAATTCTTACGTCATCGTCGTCCTTGGAAAGAAAAAGCACAGGACGAGCATCAGGCGCAATATGGAAGAACCGTATTACAGAGAGGTAAGGTCTAAATTGCGGTGTTAGTAAAAGTTTTCAATTTGTCGGTACATCTACGTTGAAGTTTCTTTTTTCGTGTAGGTTTTGGTTCACGAAGTTAACTCTGAATAAGTTTCGTATGAAGTGAGCTAGTATAATAATACCTATATAAGTAGGTATTATAGTAAGTATTTTTAGTATTGGGTATATTTAAGTTTAAGATACTTAGGTTCAATGTATCTGTACGTTGAATTACAGTCAAATCCAATTGTCTTACCAGCGTCTTACTGTCGTAATAAGAAAGAAAAGGAGGTTGTTGTTTAATAAAAAAATTGTGGGAGTAAAAAAACTTATAGGAACAATAAAGTACTTATATTTAGTCACAGAACTAATTAGAATTAACCTTAAATAATCTGTAATCCAGTTCTCTACTCTATTACGTGGCAGAAAAATAATCTACTGTAATTTATTTCAATTCAAATAAAAGAAAACGTACTTTTATTCGCACATAAACCCCGGGCCACTTGATTTTGAATATTTACCTTAATTTCTAATCAAGTTTTATTTCCAGCAAAAGTTTTAAGGATACCATACATTTATTTTGCGTTTGAAACTAAAAAACACCCTGAAAATTTATTTATAATTATTTTTTACTAAATTATTTTATTTAAAAATGGATCCCACTTTATCGCCCGTTCCACCATCTCTATATAAGTAGATAAGTTTACATAGTTCATTTAAATTCAAATAACGTTCTTTATTTAAATTAATCTGGTGCATAGCTATACAGACGTTGTGAAACAGGCCCTTGAAATAATAATTTTATAGATAATGGCTTCATTACACTTATGTTGTAGTCGAAATTATTATAAGTTATAATAAAATGAATGTGTGTAGAAAATTATATTATTGCCCATTAGTTTTGTTTACCCTGCGGGGTAAGCAGGGGTAATGAGCCGGTGTATCGTCGCGGTGTCTGACCACGGATAAGTGCAGACATGATTACTGACCAAATGATTACCTATGTAAACCGACTATTTACTTTTACATACATTATTCGACACTTCGTTTGAGGCAATGCATGTCTAGATACATGTTTATTATTTGTAAAAGTTTTGATCACTATTACCACTGACTACAATATTGATCTTTGAGATATCTATTGAGAATTCTAACTAAAACTAAATCGTTACAAAAATCCCCGTGATAGCCCCATGATAGTCTTTTGTACGGCTCGGAATTCGAATTCGACTGGGCAAAGAGATATTTGGTGGTGGTGGTCCCATTTCAGTCACTTGAGCGTCATGGCAGAAATATTGGAACACATTAAATTTAAAATGTTTACCCTTTTTTTTTGTGAGGGCAAAATCATCAAATGACTTCTCCCGCCCAGGGCCGGGCAGGAGGGAGTGTTAGACTCTTACTGACTAAAAACCCCCCCCGGAATTGGAAATTCTATATCATAGACGGCGCCATGGCGATGGCGTGGAGTAGGTTTATATGATAGTACATACTGATTACTCGTAAATTTGGGACTAGCAGCGCCATCTGTGATATTTTCTTTGCACTAAATTAAAATCGCGCTCAACTAACAAGCGACGCACGACTAACGTGTGCCGTGTTCGATGAAACAGTTTTATTGTAAGACGATAGATGTCACTATTTTATTTTTCACATTATTATTTTCAAGAATAATAGAAAAAATCATTCAGATTGTTTTATATCAGCTAAAGGCACATTTGTGTACAATATACTTGCATACATTATCAAACAAAGAGAACAAAGACTTTCACCGTTTGATAGATTAACATAATATACAATGACATAATTATGTAATACTGTCTAGATGTGGAATGAAATTAGATTGACAGCAAAAAAAGTTAACTTTTTTCACCAACTATTCAATTTTAATATCACACTAAACGTACAAAAAGTGTTTCCCGCCATCTATTGCGTATGTCCGGAACTAATGAGAGGACTCAAAACGAATAAAACGAAGCAACGTTTTTATAGTTTTTAAGTTCAAGACAGATGTCAGTACTAATTTATCAACATTTATTCAAAACTGTTATCGTGGTATTACCGTATTTACTTTATTCATTGTTGCAACATCAGGTCATATTTTTTTGTGTGCGTAGACAATAGATGGCGTTAGTGGTTTACTCAAATAGTGCGCATGTTTTTACTTTTTTGGGGTTGCCTCACAACCTTTACAGCCCAAATTTTACAGTTTATAAAATAGTTCAATTGATACTAACTGTATTTAAATAATTGTTCATTTATTATCGGCGCCCTTTTCTTCAAACTTTCACTTTGAATACACCTGGTAACTACCCACTTACAATTTTGAAATGGATATCACCCATCTTATACATGGGTGCCGGCAATAACTGTGCTTTTGTTCGCGATACTTTCTAAGTAAAACACATAGCTTATCAAAGGAATGACCTGGTGTCTGATTTTAGAATCAAAATTATTGAGTAGGTACTTTTTAAAAGACCGGCATCGTACTTGTGACTTTTCTGGTATTGCGATCATCCATAATCAGTACCTACTGATCGCTTACGATTATGTGTTGTGTTGGTTTGTGTTTCTCTTATTTAAATAAAAATACTTTGAACGCTTTTGGAAGCGAACTAAAAACCGTTTACCATTCTCACTTTTGAAAACACTCGCCAAGTGATTTAAATTACCTACTGCACCGTTGGCGTGGTAGCTGGGCAACTGTTGCGGATTCAAGTGCCGCAACCGCAAGGAACAACTATTTGTGAGATCCACAAATTGTTGCTTCGGGTCCAGAGGAAATGCTAGGGCATTGTTTCTTAAAAAAAAACTGGTTTTAAATTTGTCCTAGTATGTACATTACAATCCCGGTACATCGCCTAGGTTCTCAAGATTTTTTTATTCGTAACATACTTACGTGACTTGTATTTTTTATTAATAACTTCATTTTTATACTTAGTTACTTATCCAGATTTACGTTTATATTGAATCTAAAGTTATGATGGGTCTCTTTTAAAAAAGAGTATCGAATGGAGTTTCTTGCTCGTTCTTCTCCATTCAAATCTACAATTTGGAATGACCACCTAGCTTCACTGACGAACAGACTGACAGACTACTTCTCTATTTTGACGTTTCAAAAGTACCTATTTATGGTTTAGTTGGAATAAATGATTTTGACTTTGACTTTGACTTTGAGTTAGTCGTGCGAGGGCCTAAAATCTTATAATAACATCTCTTATTGATATTTTTTTCCATTTTTTGTTGTATACCGGTCTTCCGTTCACTAGGTCTGTTAGATAAACTTGAAATTATGCTTAGTACCCAAAGTGTGGGGGACTACCGGAATGGCTTCACCGGCGTGATACCACGGCCTTACAGGAAACCGGCGTGGAATGACCATCGTGTTGTGTTTCGCCATATGAGTGGGGCTCCCGGAGGCATAATCCTTGCTCACCCCCTTTCCTCCCCAACACCCCTTATCCCCAATATGCAGGTAACTAACTTCTCTGGTGTTGCGGTCGTCCATGGGCGGCGTCGATTGCTTACCATCAGATAATCCGTCTGCTCGTTTGCATGTCACATAAAAATCACATACCAGGGTAAAACATAAAAAAAACCCCAGTGGTAGTCATGAGAATTGGATCCTTTAAACCATGGTTGTCGCGCTTTCTATTAAGGGATGCGCTTTTGTGACGTCCCTTAATAATAAAACAAACAGCTGTCTCCTAATTTTTATTATCTTAAATACATTTTCCAACCTTTTCTCACCGTCACCGATGTCCTCAAAAATAAAACTGATATTTTATATAGGTGCTTATACTAACTTATCTTTGGTAATTTTCTTTGTCCAGTACTTCATGTTCGAGTTATACGTAAGCATCAGAGACATACAGCGGTCGAGTATCTGGCTGGCTGTGATGGAACCTCGGTGTTGTGCCCCTCCACGACTCATGGGGGAAGCCACCATCGACCTCGGCGCTGTGTGGTCACAACCACGTAAGTACATTTTGTAATTACGTAGACTTTTTTATAATGTAATAGTTAAAGAAAGAATAAATTGTAATTGATAGTCATTTTTTTTTATTCAAAGCTTAATATTATAAATGTTCATTTAAGAATTTTGCATTATTACAAATTAAGTAATTTATTTTTCACATGATATAAAATGGAGTTATTTGAAATAATCAAGATTTATTTTTATAAATAAATTTATCAATACCAATGTATATAAGTAATTACAAATTTATTTAAAAGTATATCGTAATGAAAATAACACATTTTTACCCAGATCGTTATATCAGAGTTATATATTCGATATGCACAGTTTTTGCGGCAATACACAGCATGCAGATAGATTCGAAAATAATCAAAATAAAAACAAAAGCTTGACAACAAGCTACTTAACATATCACAAAGGTTCTCCCACCGGGGTTCAGAGACTGCGGTCTCCGCGCAATACGTCGTGCCTTGTACAGAATTGCATTCTGCATTAGGCCCTTGGCGGAACCATCTAACGTGAACCTACTTTGGTGTAGGTGGAGAATTTTATCCACATACCTATAAATTCATTTAAATCTATAAATAAATTAGTGTCTACAACCTTAGATTCTTAAAAAACTAGCCGGAGTTGCGGGGTAAGTGCAGTGAGGCACCGCGGCTTTGGCCTAGTGCAGGAATAGGAACGGGGGGGGGGGGGGAGGGGTTAGTCAGTAAGAGACTGACCCCTGGGCGGAAGAAGTCATTTTGATTTACACCTCACAAAAAAAACTACAATATTAATTTCTAAAACATTCGAAAGTGAGGTAATAACTTCAAATGGTTTTTGTTCCCAAAAAGTAAGGTTTAGATAACATTGCGTTTAAATGTAGGCAGGTAATTAGCTTCATATTTCTACGCTTAAATGTTCGCAAACTATACATATTACTAACTTCTATTATATACTAGCAGACCGCCCCTGCTTCGCACGGGTACCCCGGTGTCAGTCATTTGTTTTGCAAGCGAACGGCGTTGAAAAGGTCACTTTTCCCAATTTTCCCCCCTACTTTTCTAATATTTTTTGTGATAAGAACCTTCTCCTGACAATAAGAAACACAACAAAAAAATAATTAGCAAAATTGGTCCAGGTGTTGTTGAGTTATGCGCTTACCAACACATTTTGCTATCCATTTTTATATATAAGAAGATTATGTTGGCATTAGGTTAACAGTGCCTAACTTGTTTGAAGAAAATTTAACGTAATGCACTTGTATGGATCTTTTACAATGTGACGGTTGTCGGGTGCAAGCGTCATAATGTACTAAGAATGTCCTAGAACAGAAGAACAAACAGGGTAGTTTTAAAGTCAGTATGAGTCTGACATGTAGAAGTCATTTTATGATTTAAAAAAATATATAAATTTCTCTCTCGGCTGTACTGAACTTGAATAGTTCAAAAATTTTGGCGTTGTGAGAGCTGTATCTTTTGTAAAAATCTAGTAGTATAATAGAAGTATAGCTTCTCTCACGCGGTTTCACCCGCTGCTTGGCTCTATTAGGTCGTAGCGTGATGTTTTATAGCCTATAGCACTTGGACCTTGTAGCTATTTATCAGTGAAAGAATTTTGGCCATCTAACTAGCGGTTCCAAAGATTACCCCCGACATACAAACTTACAAATTTTACCTCTTTGTAATATTAGTATTAGATTTATGGTAGGTAATACTTAATAAATACATAGATAATAGGTAACAAAAGTACTTTATAAGCTGCTTAAACTACATACGATGTATACAGGTACATGTTAAAGTTGATATTTTCAGAATGTGTTTACCAAGAAATCTCTAAGCTCCTTACATACTTCTATGCTTCCATATACCTAGGTACACACAACGTACATGCATTCATACAAAGGCGGTGCCCGGGACCTGGAATTTATTATATTTCCAAGTAGCGGATATAAGCTCTACAAACCCGATTTTACAAGTAATATCCTTTCATAAATATTTTATAAAATACTTTTAGAGATATAATATTTTCAGTACAGTATTGTATTTTGAAGTTTTTAGTACTTATTGTGTTTTAAATGCTTATAACGAAAACGAATTGTCGTTTTTTTATATGTTAAGGTCGGCAAACAAACAGACGGATTACCTGATGGTAAGCAATTATCGCCGCCCATGGAGACACCCGCAACAGAGGAGTTACGAGTGCGTTGCCCACCTTTGAGGGATAAGGGATTTGGGAGATTAAGGGATTGGGAGTAATTTGGGGACGGAAAGGATTGGGCCTCCGGTAACCTCACTCACACGGCGAAACATAACGTCTGTCTTACTGTCTTCAATAGCATGATTGGCAACACATTTGTTCTTGTTGTTCTTGATGATGTCGCTTGCTTACCATGAGATAATCCGCCTGCTGGTTTGCATTGCTTTGTTTAGACGCGGTAATTTTGCATCTTATGATCTCTTTCTGGTGTTTTGTTGAACGTTACGCCCGCTTCTCATGCATGAGTTTTTCGAAATTTAGTCAGTACTAATGAGGACTAATGGGATTTGGTGTTTCTAAGGTTGGTAGGTACATGATAAGGTCGTGGTGGCCAGGAGGTTAAGGAGCCCGCTTCTCATGCATGAGGGTGTGGTTTCGAAACCTGGCAAGTACCAATGTGACTTTTTCCGAGTTATATGTACTTTCTATGATTATTTGGACACCACTGACATACGGTGAAGGAAGACATGGTGAGGAAACCTGGACTTATAATTTCTAATTATAAGTTTGAAATCGCCAACCCGCATTTAGCAAGCGTGGTGATTAATGCTCAAACCTTCTCCGTGTGGGAAGAGGCCTTTGCTCAGCAGTGGGCACATATAGGCTGATGATGATGATAACGAGGTATATGACAAAGGAAAAATCCTTTGTTTTTTATAGAATAGATCGGTAAACGAGCAGATGGATTACATTATGGTTAAGCAATCAGCGCCACCCATGAACACCCTTAACACCAAAAAGGAGTTACGAGTGCGTTGCCGGCCTTTTAGGGATAGGGAAGGGGAGTGATTGGGCCTCCGGTAACCTCATTCACAAAGCGAAACACAATGTTGTGGTTTTTTACACTGGTTTTCTGTGAGGCCGTGGTATCACTCCTGTTGAGCAGACCCATTCGTGCCGAAGCATGGCTGGTGATTATTCAGCGATCTATCGTCACAAAAAACTTGAGGATGTGCTTTGTACCCTTAAATTTTTACATATAAATATGTAGGATTTTATATTTCATTCGTCACTCCGTAATCGGTTGCAGATTTAGGTCATAACTAAATCTATATACCGTCAAGACAAAGGTTACCAGGTCAGTACAAGTTAAGCACAATGAACAATGATTTCAATTGGTCCCATAAAATGAATTTACTTTTATAGATATTTTATAATAAAAAAAATTTCAATTGTTTGTTATTAAAAATAACTTTCCTCGTCATTCAAGGGACTGGTTCTTTGACGTCATTGCTATTTATAATTGTTACATAAAAATTGTTTGAGGGCCAAACCAAACACTTACCTGTACTTTACGAAATTTTTTAAAGAAAAATATTCAAGCTTTTTATTTGGTATTAGGTATTATAATTGTAATTTTGTGACAATTTAAAAAAGAGAAAAGTAAAGAGAAGAAACGAAATTAATGTGCTATTATTAGAAATATTTGAAATTGATACCCCTTTAGAGAGAGCATCATAGATTGAGTTGAGTAGGTCCTTTTGAACCTTATAAAGACCGCGTCGTCTATTGTTGTTTTAGAGTTGCACATGTCCATGGGCAGCGCTGATTACCCATCATTGGCAAGCTAGTTTGTCCCTACTCCTTAAAATAATGTGCAATAAGTATGAAAAAACACATTTAGATTAAGTTAGGTTTTGTGATCGACTTGGTCACCTTGAGCGATCCTGATACTAGATTAGAAAGCGGATTTATACAATGGACCTTCATGGAATAATCTAGATAAGGCTAAGCATAAATATATGTAGGTAAAATAGTATATGATAACAAGAATATCCGGTTGTTAATAGGTTATTTTCAGCTACTGCGACCTACAGCTCCCTAAGCGAGACAACCTATGATGCGTTTCTGTCTCGCAAATCAATATTCACGCACACACACATTCGCAGTTGCAACGTGTACAAATTTTCAATCAGGTTTGTGTTTACCTTGTACTACATACGCAAAGGATTAAGCCTGTGCAGGGCGCTCGGGAGGGGGGAGTCCTCCCATCAAAATTATTAGTACTTGCGTAAGCTTTGATGGGATTCATGTTGTAGGAAAATTTAAACCGAAGTGCACTAGATTAAAATTTTGCATGATTGGTCAGTTCCGAGTCTAAGCGATGGGGTCGTAGCGAATATGTGGGAGAGCCATGTGATGGTTTGGCACGAATGGGTCAGCTCAACTGGACTCATACCTATACATTTATAGAAAACTGGCATGAAACAACCACAGCGTTGTGTTTCGCCGTTTGAGTTAAGCTACCAGATGCCCAATCCTTCCCCTTCCCCAATCCCAAAATATCCATAATCCCCAAAAGGGCGGCAACGCACTCGTAACTCTTCCGTTGTTGCGTTCCTGGGCGGCGCTGACTGCTTAACGTCAGGTAATACGTGATCTCGTTTGTCATCTTATCACGTAAAAAATGTTCAGAATCAATAAACCTTTTTCTATATTATAATGTAATATATTTTTTTTCTATTTTCATCTAGCGAAGTTTTCTGATAGTTTTTTTACTAGGCTGCCTCAAAGGGCGGAGGTGCATCATTAAAAATCTGGCAAACAGATATTCATTGAATTACTTACGCCCAGGGCTTACTGTAATGCCACCTCTTTCGATCGGCAACCCACGCGCTCCAGGTTCATGTATTGCGTTGGCTGCTAGCTGCATATTGCTGTTGTATATGTATTTGCAAATGGTGGTCGTTATACTATGTAATGCACTATATATAGACTATATGTATACATATATGTTGAAGCCAACTTAATCAACCTTTCAACGAACATCCTGAATGGCTAAATATTTGTTAAAATATTTGTATTTCGCATTAATGCTGCATGTTTAATTCTCACTAAAAAAATTTAGTAGAGATTTGCATCGCTGACAACCTAAGGATATTTAAGTTGATACGAATATTGATCGTCATTCAAACTGAGGTGCTGCCAGGTGGGCGTGGTCGGGTCAACTGTGACCTATACAGAAATCATTGCCGTCGGAAATACACGAGCAGATAGGCCCCATCCCCTATCCTAACTTGTGTTAGTGGCGTCCCACAAAGACGCTCTTTAAAATCTAAAAACATCACGTATTACCAAAAGAAAAGGTCATCAGTGTACTAAACATATCAGTCTTTCATCAATACTCAACTCTCTGTTCTTTTCATGTCCATGGGAAAAGGGTTCCGGCATAATTATATATATTCAGTGAAACAATAAATTCATTTTTGCAAATAGGCTACAAAAGAGTACCTACCGTTACACGTAAACATTTAATTATAAAGAATCTAGATAATGCCTTATAACAACAAATAACCAAAGGTACTCGTATGTTTCGATAGGAACCGATATGATTTTGTATACCCAATCCGTGGTACACAATCCCTAGTACTTTTGTCGGGTGCAGATCCCTAAGCGGTCTCGCGCTCAGACATCGCCGTTGCACTTTGGTAAAGCAAAGCAAACGAACATGATGTAATTTTTTCCCTTAGTTGATTAAAACCCATTAGTGTGGGAGGGCCTTGCTTCGGCACGAATGGGCCGGCTCGGCCGGAATGATACAGCGGCCTCGTAGAAAGCCGGCGTGAACCAATCACAGCGTTGTGTTTTGGTGTGAGAGTGAGGTTGCTGGAGGCTTGGAAAGGATTGGCCTTTCCTTCCCCCAATCCCTCCTCAATCCCAAAATCTCCAAATCCCTAATCCCCAAAAGGCGGCAACGAACTCCTCCGTTGTTGTGGGTGTCCATGGGCGGCCCTGATTGCTTACGATCAGGCCATCCGTTGGCCGTCTCATGACATAAAAAAGTCGAAAAGAAAAGAATTTAATTTCAAACTAGGAAGTGTTAAGCGTAATAATGGCTGTAAGTTTTCAAGCAACTATCGCTGGCCGCTAATAATTAAGACCGGGCCGTTCAATACAATTTCCACGTTGACGCTCCCCTCACACACCCTAGGCTGCTGTCAGATACACACTTCAATATTGTACATATGAAGCTTTATTATTTGCGATTGATGGCCGTATTTTGATTGATATAATTTTGGATCCATTAAACAATAAATAAAGGAATACTTTTTTATGTAATTAGGCCATAAAGTGACACTGTTATACCACGAGTAAGTCAACCACAAGTCAACGTTACAATATTAAAAAAAGCCGAAACAAATTTAAAGTCAATATAAAATAATGTAGACAACCTCAATTAAGTAAATATAAAAGAATGTAGACTCCTTAACTTAAAATTGCGGGTTACTCACTTGAACATACTGAGAAAAGCTCTGCTGGTTTCGAACCACAGAGGGGTTCTTTATCATGATGCGCGCACGCGGCGATGTCGCGCAGCCTACTCAGACTCAGTAGAGCTTTTTTCAGTATGTTCACGTGAATAACCCGCGATTTTTAGTTAAATTAGACGCCTGTTTTGGCATGTTACTTTCTACAGGACATTTATTTTTATAAATATTGACATTTCGAAACATGAATTTTTTAAATTTTAAAGATATTCATTCTTTTTTTTATTAATATTATAATGCGATATCAGGAATCGGTTATCTTTATATATGCACCGATACTATTCTAAAAACTTCATGCTTTTTCATAATTTATCATCAGCCTGATGTAGGCCACAGCTGGACATAGGCCTCCCCAATAGCATGCCACTGAGCTCAAAACTTCGTGCTTATAATAGAGGAAATACTATGAAGTCTCAATACGACATAGCCGGTTTACCTGTTGCTATATGTATAAGGCTTAGTTTCCCTTGAAACGTTTGGAACCAACGTATTAGTTTTTTTGTCTAGCGTTGCTTCTGACTGGTGTTATTAAAATTACCACTAAAACTGTTATCATACAGTTTTTCGTCTTATATAGGTACATTTATATATCTATCTATCTCTGATATTCCTAGCTTTCGTATCGAAACAGCAAGAATTTATTTTATATTATTGATTTTATCACACAAAAAGTGTCACAAAATTTACAGATACCAAAACAACAGTTCCAGAATAGTACCTTGCTTCATACC